AGAAATATTTTAATTGCATTTCACTTTTAAAATTGAAGTTTTGATTAGAAATTTTTCCTTAATGAGTGGATCTTAATCGTAAAACACAGAATTTTAAATGTAAGAAAAAAATTTAAAATTATATTTTACTTTTGAAGTCAAAGTTATGATTAAAAATGTTCCTTTATTAATTGGATTTTTTTTACCGAGGTATCTACAGATCGGTTCCTAAGATCGCACCTTTCTTATTTATTTTTTATTCTAAACATATGGGCGAATTCAAACGTTTGTGTGTGTCTGCCACAGTTTGTCATAAATTTTCGAAAAGGAAAGAGGGAAAGAGGCTGAGTTGCTGGGTGTAACTGACTTTGCTTTTTCTTTTGGCCGCAACATTTGACACCTGCTACTATTGCTCAACCCCCTTCCCCCTTCCCCCTTCTGGCCTCCTGGTCCTGTTTCTGTTTCGAATTTTATTGTTTGCTTAAATATTTACACAATGAAAACGAAGCGTTTTCCATGTGTGTACCCCCAGCGAGTGAGGGAAGTGTTTGCGGTTCTTGCTCAACTTACAAATGCTTTTTCCATGGCTTAGGGGCTGGTGATTTCTGTTCCTTTGCTGTGTGCCCCTGGATGTGACCCCCAAAGGTTGAGCTTTATGTATTTATGATATTCTATATTGGTGCTCAATTGCCAATTATGAGCTGTTAAGGTGCCTTGGCCATGATAAATGGGCCAGGGCAAATGCAGAAATTTTTGTTGTCGCCAATTAAAGTTGTGCCAAAAGTTTGGCCTTAAATGTGTTTTGGGGGCCAAAGCGACTTCGACAGCGACAGCAACACTTTTGCCAATTTGAATATTTCATGACATTTGTCACACTCTGCATGCAACAGACACTCGTTTCCTGTTTACAGACCGATGTGGATGACACAGCCAACTTTTGACTCCTTTTTTTCGGGTTGGGCTAGGTTTTCCCCTGCCTACATGACTCGCGTTTTCCTCCGACATTCTGCAGAGTTTTCTTCCCTTTTTTTTGCCTGTTCAGCATGTCAACTGCGAAAACTCAATTTGCCTAAGTAAATAAACGGAATATGAATGTTTAATTTATTTTATAGATATTAAATAAACACACGACTCCTAACTGAGTTGAGTACACACACTCATGAGGGGGGAAACTTTGAATTGTAGCTGAACTTCGTTGGATGGGAAAAATAGAAAGAAAGCCTGGCTTTTTACAATTCGCCAACTTTTGGAAGTTCTTAAAGCCAGAAATGTATATAGAAGAGAATAAAAACCTCAAAGAAAATTGCAGTTATCGGTAGCAGTTTGCTTAATCGTTTGCTCCTTCCCCTCTTTGGCAATCTATCGAAAAAGGTTTAATTAAAATCGCGCCACGGGGAGTGGCGGAAATCAATTTAATTAAATTTGCACTCACTCTCGCTTTCTCCGCTCACTTTCTTCTGTGACTTATTTCGGTCTTCATTCCATTCCAAATGGGAATCGCCGACAATGGAATGTTCGGAATGCAAAGGAGGAAAAAATATAAAGAAGTGTAAACAGTTCAGAGATTGGTTAAGCCAACAGGAACCACCTGCGGGCAATCCGCTTTCAGTACTTTCCCGTTAATTAAAATAGTCATTATAGCTTAAGAACAGTGCGTTTCATAGAGGCAAGTCAATTATTTTAGATTTTTATTCAAAATAAAAACTAAAAAATAGAACAAAAGTTTTTAGGTTCCAACAAAAAAAATGTTTAAAAAATCAATAGACTTAAGAAACTTACCCTACCTCAAATTTAAATTGTCTATCCCAAATAAATATAATTTAAGGATCATTTCATAGCGCGGCTTTCAAATTAATTATATTAATAATTTAAAACAATTCCATTTTTAATGTATCATTTATTTCCCCATTTTTTGTCCTTGATTAGCCACCTTAATGACATTTCGTCCTATTAAAATGCCGCTGAATCCAATTATGAAATACGTGCTTAACTTCTGCCTCCTGCCATGAACCGCACTGTATAAATTATATAAAAACCACACGCTGATTTTTAATTAAGCCACAAAGCTGCACCCCACGCTGCGTATACGCAATGTCGCCTTGGCACTCGCATTTCCTTCTTCATCCTTCATTTCCCATAGTATCCTTTCCTTTCTCATTCCGCTCAGTTCATAAAATTTTATGCGTGACTCATGATTTTTGTCTCTCGCTCTTTTTTGTTGACTTGTTTACATGCACCCATGACAAATAATGATGAGTCGCTGCCTTTTATGAATATGAATGCTGAGTGGGTGGTTGGAGGTGGGTGGTGTTTGGGTGGGAGGCCATAAAAACCTAAACGTCTGCGTCGGAGGCGTTAAATTTGTGCGAATTTTGTTTTTATATGACCGGATCGTGTTATGACAACGCTTACATGCTGTTATCTTTATGAAAGTGGAGTGGGAATTTTGGGGGGAAAGTTGAGATTTATCCTAAGTGGATGGATTGCAGAGGTGTCTGATATAATAACTTACAAGTGAAGAGGAGCAAAAGTCCAAGAAACTTGTAAATAATTGGTAAACTATTTTACGGTGTTTGAACTGCTTATTAGATTAATGGAAACCAATATATTATTCATATAAATATTCCAATCCATGGTAGACATAAATTTTATCTAAAAACATACATAAATAACTGTTGCATCTATATTTCGTATAAAACGTCGATTAATTCTGGTCCATTTGTTTACTTTATTAAAAAATCGCCATTAACAATAAAACGAAATATTTATTTAAAACCCAACAAAGTTTTCGGTTCGCTGAACTCAAAACCGAAAGCCAAACTACCAGTTAAGTGCATTCTGCCACCATCCGCTTAAAAAAAACGAAAACTCTGTTCGCTTCGGTTGAGTTTAGTTGCGTTGGCCCCTAACTGGCCATAACATTTGATTATGTTTTCATAAATACTAGTAAACCATTTTTCCGGCTTTTCCATACCCATTTATTTTGCATAAGCTTTTCTGCAATTTTTGCAAAATGTAAATATTCAAAGTTACCAATTTTCGCAATGAAATTTTCTCTATACATCCAGATGCCATTTAATGCAGCGTAGACGGGGCAAAACAACAACACAGAAAGGCCAGAACTTTGGCTGTATATGTCTAACACGGAGTGAAATTCCCGCGGGAAGCATAAAATACATTTTACATAAATGGATGGAATTGCACATTAATATGCGCCAGCCAAAGTTTCATAAACTAACCCCCAACCAACGACAAAATGCAAAAGGGAGTGTCAGAGTTTTGGGGATTGGCAATTTGATATACCATGTGCATGTGTCGAGTGCTTCGAAAATGTTTTCGCTGCGATTTGTCTCTCCTTCAACTGCAACGCTTTGAGATTTTGATAATTGTTAGTTATGTCTGGATATCGCAGCAAGTTGGAAGTTTCCCCTCTATCTGTCCATTAAGTTGGCTTCGTTGGGCAATTAGTTGGGGAATTCCTACCTGTAATTAGTTTTAAGTGTTGTTTATGCCCCAAAACTTTCACTATAAAATTTTAACGTTCCTACATTCTTGGCACAGATTATGCATACGGTAAATGGTACATTTATGAGCTTCTGAAGTGTTTTGGCCCCTTGCCCAATGTAGGTTGTCCTGGCTTCAGGGAATACTTAAAAAAAAATCGACAAATAATACCCCTAAAATATTAGAAAAATTTTAAATCGGTTCAAAAACCTATTTCGATATCGAGGATGAAAATATATATTTTTTAATATTTATAGAAATTTTCTCTTCTCAAATAGGTGTGCAACTTTTTGGGTTTTGCCTGTTCAACAATTTTTGGCAGCACTTTCTTTTTGGCTGTGATTCAACTATGTAAGTCTGGCTAGGCAAATCTAGGCGAAATTGTTTTTTTATTACCCTGCTTGGCATAAAGATTCCGTTTTTGGCCACACCCAGCCAATCAGCATTTAATTTATGAGCATTTAATAAGAAAATCGCATTTAAAATCATTTAATCGCTTTGACTATATCTTCACTTGTGACTTGTTGCTGGATTCTGTGGGCTACTCCGCGATTATCCCTGTAGACACAAGCTGAAAATCCCTGTTTATCCTGGGGAGCTATCAAAGCGTTACAAATCACTCGAAGGAGCACAGCCGCGCGTGTCTATCGATTGAAGTGCGACAAATGGAACGCATTAAGTTAACATTATTGCCAAACAATTTGCTCGAATTGTGTTCATTTTGTGTCGTTACTGTCATTGCTACTCACATACATAACTTGCCAATGCTTTTCCTTGTTGGGTTCTTTTCTTCGATTTGGCCAACAACAACAGAAACAACTTATCCTTGTGCTTGTTATATTTACCCCCAGTTGTATATATATCCTGGCCCCCTCACACTCCACGGATAATTCTCTGGCAATTGTGTTTTTATGTGGCCAACCCCAAATCTGATTAGACGAGCGCTTCCGAGGGCTTGAGCCCTTGAGGGGGCGAGAATGGCAAGGAAAGGCAGTATCAAACTACGATAAATGGCTGAAACTTGTAAGCGAGCAGATATTAGACGTGGCATTGTTAGGGGGAAATTGCTTTTAGCCTGTTGCTAAAAATCCTGTCCCTCGCTCGCCTGCTTTCCCTTGAGGGTCTTCGCTGGCAATCCTTTCGCCAGGAGGCTCTACAATTCCAATCGCCTTGTTACCTGTCGGGGGAATTGACTGTGTTAAGTGGTAAATTATCTTTTTTTCTGCTTCGGTTTCGCTTCCACTTTCGTTTGGTTGCGACAAATTACGGAAAAGGGTTTGCATGTAATTGATACGATAACTGGAGCAAAGTATATGTCTAAAATGTTGAACACTTGAAAAAAGGATTTAAAAAGCCCTAGAAGTGACGGATGAACAAAAATATGTTAAGTGATTCTCGATTACTGAGCATTTGTGCATTTACACAATTGATTTTGTGGGGTAGAAAAGAAACAGAAATGAGAAGATTGAGAGATTTTTTAGTATTGCTGTTCGTTTTACTTTATTAATTTAAATTATTTAATAATCCACATATAGACACCTCTCATTGGGCACAGCTGAGCACCCAAGAAGCCTGTCATCGAAGACCGTTCCCTCTTCGCAAAGCACCGCATATGGAATGGGATAATCACAAACGACATAACGACTACAGTCATTGGGATAGGCAAGAATAGTTCCAAGAGGTCGCCCACAGCAAATGTTCGGGGTGTACGGATCCAGAGTTGTGGGGGGTGGAATAGGAGTTGTTGTTGAATCTGTTGTTGATTCTGTAGTTGTTGTTGAAATCGTTGTGGATTCTGTGGTAGTTGTCATTGGTGTTGTTGAAGCCGTTGTTGATTCTGTAGTGGTTGTAAGTGGTGTTGTTGAAGCTGTTGTTGATTCTGTGGTGGTTGTCATTGGTGTTGTTGAAGATGTTGTTGATTCTGTAGTGGTTGTTATAGGTGTTGTTGAAGTCGTTGTTGATTCTGTGGTGGTTGTCTTTGGTGTTGTTGAAACTGTTGTCGATTCTGTGGTGGTTGTCATTGGCGTTGTTGAAAGTGTTGTTGTCGTTGGTGTTGTTGATTCAGTTGTAATAGTCGAAGTTTCTGTGGTCACAGTTGTCAGCCCAGGAGTGGTTATTTTCGGACTACAACCGGCTAGTTCTGGATCCATGCAAATCAGTTCCGTCGGACTGAACTCCAAACCATTGGCACAATCATAGCCAACGGGTATCGGGTATTGACACTTTATGAACTTGCTGCAGTTTTTCGGATAGGGTACCAAAGAGTCGTCCGTCTTGCCCTCACAGATTCCCGCAGAAGGTTTGGCTGTAGTAGAAGATGTTGGTGCCGTTGTTGATTCTGTTGATGACTCTGTTGTTGATTCTGTGGTTGATTCTGTTGATGTTGTTGTTGATTCTGTTGATGATTCTGTAGTTGATTCTGTTGATCCTGATGTTAATTTCGATGTAGTAGTAGATTCTGTGGATGACTCTGTTGTTGATTCTGTTGATGTTGTTGTTAATTCAGTCGTTGTTGTTGTTGATTCTGTTGATGACTCTGTCGTTGAAATAGTAGAAGATTCCGTTGTAGGTTCAGTTGTGGATGATGATGTTTCCCCTCCATTTGAAGTCGTCGTTGAATCCGATGGCTTAACAGTGGTTTTAATCGAACAGTTAGCCAACGAAGCATCCACACACTTTTCTAGCTCCACGCTGAATTCATCACCCTCATCGCATTCGTAGGCCACCGCAATGGGTCTATCGCACTTTATGTATTTTGAACAATCGTTAGGATATGCGACTAGGGCACCATCATCAACATCGTCACAGGGTCCCTTCTGTGGTGGTGGTCGTGTAACCGCTGTGGTTGTGGTCGGTTCAGTTGTGGTAGATGTGGTTGAGGAGTAATCCCATCGGCACGCATCTGATGGAACATCCGCTCCACACTTTTCAGTTATTGGATCGTAGTAGTCCCCACAATTACAGACATCAGTCATGTAAATATAATCATCCACACAACGTATGAACCACTGACAATTATCCGGATATGGGAAAGTATCCCTACTGCTATTTGTGCACATTGTGGGTTCCGGAGGCGGTTTGGTATATCCTGGTTCCAAAGTCGTAGTGCTCTGTTCTCCCTCGCAATCACTCTCCTCCCAACTCTCGATGCACTTCTGTAACTTTGAGCTGAAGAACGTATCTTCGGGACAGAAGAAGGCTATGGGAATTGGTGAAACGCACACAATATACTTGTTGCACTTGTTGGGATAAGCGATATTCTCGTTCTCATTTCGACCACCGCAAATTCCAGTGGTTGGAGAAACAGTTGATGTCTTTGGTGTGGTTGAGGGTTCCTGAGTTGTGGGCTTGGGGGTGGTAATTCTTTCGGTTGTTGTGGTTTCTGTAGTGGTTAAGGTTGTGGAGGTGACTTGTGAAGCCTTACAAGCATCCTCTGACACATTAGGTCCACACTGACCTGTCGTAGGATCAAAGTAACTACCATATATGCAGGGTGCCAGAGCCCACTTTCCATTTCCCAAGCAGAGATAATATTGGCTGCAATCTTCTGTATACGGAAACGAAGCTCCCACCTCTTGACCCTCGCAAAACTGATCGGGTCCCAAAGTGGTGGCTGGTGTGGTTGTCGTCGTTGTTGTAGTGGTTTTCTCAGTGGTTGTTGTGGGTTTAGTAGTTGGAATGGGAGTGGTGGTGCGATCTCCAAGGCAAACAACATCCTTAGGATCATCGCAAACCAGCCAATCCGGATTGAAGAGCGTAGAAGGGGGACATTGACCCATTTCCACTTTGTTGTCCTTACAAAGGAGGTACTCGGAACAATTTCCAATGTAAGCGAAAATAGTGCCATCTTGTTTACCATCGCAGATATTTGGATCGACATCTGAGGGAAGTCCAGGTGTAGTGGTTGGAATCTCTGCTGTGGTGGAACTTTCAGTTGTGGAAGGAAGAGTTGAAGGTGAAGGAGTTGTTGAAGGCGGTGTTGTTATTGAAGAAGTGGTTGGTTTCCCTGTAGTTCCCGGACTGGTAGGATATGGCGAGGGATCACACCAAACGGAATCGGGAGTATCGCAAATGTGCAGCCAATTATTGAATAGCTTATCGGGCTGACAGTAATACAAGTCGGTGCAACCATTATTGCAGGCCAAGTAGCCACTGCAATTGTACGGATATTCATAGAAACCATTTCCTTTGGGCGTGCAATAGTCCTCGTCTACACCCTCGGGAGTTGGACCGCAAACCCCATCCCACTCGGTGGTCGAAGTGAGCGGAATTTGAGTTGTGGTCGTGGGCAGGGGCCTCTCATCGCAATCCACTTCATCGGGAGTATCGCAAATACCCAGGAGCTCATTAAAGAGCTTGTCTTTAATACAATATTCTAGCACTGGCCAGCCATGAGTACAGTTGATATAGGCCTGACAATCGTAGGGATACGAAAGGAGCCAGCCATCCTTGTAGTTGCGACAGTAATCCTCTGGAATTCCAGGTGGTAGAGGTGGAGGATCCCAACTGGAAGTGGGCGAATAACTTGAAGGCGTTGACGAAGTTTCTGTACTTTCAGTGGTTATCTTTTCAGTAGTGGTAGTTCCTTCTATTGGCTCGGTTGTTATCTTTGCAGTACTGGAAGTTGGTGGCTGAGTTATTCGTGTAGTTCCATCTGTGGGCTCTGGGGTGTCAATCGAATAGAAAATACACTCCACAGCTTGGGGATAATTACAAAGCTGCGTCTTGTTATCCCACCAAAGATCAGCTGGGCACAACTTCACCGTTGGATATAGACAATCGCAGACCAGGAACAGGCTACAATTATCAGGATACGGAACCAAAGCCCCGAAAGCCTTGCCTTCGCACATCACCTGGTTTTCGTATCGCTGCTCATTGTTGCAGGTTTCATGATGGGGTTCGACCTTTGGCAGGGCCAAAACATTTAGCTGCCAGCTCCAGAAAACGGCTATAACAACCAGAAGCCATGGCAAGAGGTTGGAAATCGTCACTGAAATAAATAAGCAATCCAAAGATTAGAAATATTTACTTAATTTTAAGAGTTATTATTTTTAAGATAGCTAAACGCCACCTAAACTGCTTTAAACTTAATTGTGAAATATTATATTTTATTTTTTACTTATTTGTTGGAAAAAAAAGTTTTAAAGCAAATGTTTATGTCTATGTTCCAATGTTCCAATGTTCCTTTTTAATTTTTATTAAAGGTCTTTAAATAAGTCTTTTCTCTTCCGCGATTAATTCTATACTGACTTCCCAACTGGGCCAACTGTCTTGTCAATAGCTAGAGGTCTTTTTCTGATAGCTTATAATAATGACATTTTGATTAGATTTAATTAGAAATTCTTTGAAATTCATTGGAAATCTTTGTTGTTGTTGGTTTATAACTATTAATCACCGCATGTGTTTAGAATGTGAATTTTTGCTATCTTTATCTTCTAAAATTATTTAGTTTAAGTACCATATCAACACGCGCAGTTCGAGACTTTGATGAATTGATGAGCTTCCACAATATTCTATTCCATTGATAAAGCAATTACGTATGGGAAGTTTTATCTTGACGTCATAGTTAGGTTTGTTTACAAAGGTTAATCTTCAAGAAATATTGCTGGAAGGTTTCTGGGGGTTTTCTTTCTTTAGAATGTTTATTGTAGGTACATACTATAATATTTCCAGACACGTCTCTCTCTCTCTGAAAATGATTGTCGTTTTATATTCTTTCATTTATAAGGTAAATCATTTTATCCTGTTCGCATGTGCTTTTTGCCGCCTTTTGTGACTCTTATTGCTCCTGTTATTACACTTATTGCCCTTGTTCGAGTTCCTGCTGTTGTTGCGACTTTAATGAGGCAACGTGACCCCGCCGACACCGGAGTTCGTGTCGCAATTTATGATCACCACTCGACGCGTAAATTACACAAATAAAAATGCGTACATAAACATAAATGAAGCTAGAAGTTTAATGCGCAGCAAGCCATTAAAATTAAGCGACAAAACATGAGTAGCAAAACAAAACGGCTGTATAAAAACGGAAGTGAACAAAAGAATATATTTTGGCATTGGATTAGAAAATGCACAGAGAATCCATGCAGCTGCTGGGGGATTTTCAATTTATGCAGCAAATTACTTAAAAGCATAAAAATCTATTTGGCTGAAAGATGTTTTTATGCCAGCGTCTGGCTGAGCTTTCTTTTTTCCCTCAGGCGTCTTTGGGTTGACAAACGCTCACGAACTTGGAAAATATATAGAGTGCAGCTTGAAAGGCCAAAGCCATTAAAATAAATATAAAGTTGCATAAAGAAGGAGTAAAGAATTTTAAAGAGTTCCATAGAAAAGTTTGTTTGGTAAATAAAACAAGGACCAGGAAAAGAATTTTAGTTAATTAATATTTGAGTAAATAATAAATATATTTGCAAAACAAAAGTAGAATAAATTGCCTTAGCCGCATTTCATTTAAATAAAAGTAACCAAAATTACCCATTACCCAAAAACAGATACCCATAATCAAATGTTCATCCCCCCTTTTTGGCCAAACTTGGTCTTGGACAATTTTTCAGCTTGATCTGTTGGCTGCTGTCAAGCGTTTGATCTGCAACAGATTGAACTATCAATTATGCCCCGGCAACCGACGTGACCTGCAACTGACATGTGCCACATGCCGCATCCCCACCCACATTCCCATCCCCCAGCCAAAATCCAGAAAATAAGGAGCAAGGACCACCAGGTGGCAATGTTAAAACGGACGTTTAGTTACAGCTGAGCACCTGCTCGCCTTTCTGCCCGCCTGGCTGCCCCTCAAAGAAAATCGGAGGGGGGAAAAGCGGAGGGAAAACGTGTCCTCCATGCAAGAAAGCTGCTCCTTTCCCCCTTTCCACTTTGTGTTTGTGTTGCATGAAATTGACCCGGTGCGTGTGTCGCCAGCGACTGGAAAGGATTCTCGACGGGCTGATGGGGGATTGAGCATTGTGTGTGCCTGTGCCGCAATGCATCCTGGGGGCCTTGATTCATCGACGAGTCTAGCGGCACTCGTGTGTTTTTCCAGCGTCCAGAGATTTCAACTAAGCCTCTGTGAAACTCCTAAAAAATCGCTGAAAAAACAAAATTTAAAGAGTATTTTCTAAAGAGATTGATACCAACAAAATTTAGCTAGTCCTCAAATTTAATTTAAATGCAAAAAATAAATAGTGTTACTCAAAATAATTAAATATTAAATGAATAAATTTATAAACATTTTAAAATGCATTTAGTTTAATATGAAATATAAATGTGCTTTGTGCACAAAAATGTTTTTAAAATATTAGCCAATTAACCAAGTATTAAACTGTTTAATATGCATTTTTTCAAATTCTTGTTTCGCCTTTAAAGACCGATTTCAGTTATTATTTTCTTAAATAATAGTAATTCCATTTATATTCACTCAAGCTTTTTCTTTTCTCAATAAATTTGTTGTATTACACTTTAAATTTGTGTATGAAATGAATATCCTTTGCTTAAACTTCCAAAGAAAACCTGACAAATGGATTGTTTGATTACCGCTGAGTTTAATATCGAGTAAATGAAATTTCACAAGAATGCAACCATGCTGTGATCATTGACTGCCAGCTAAAAGCAAACCAAACTACCGAGCAAAAAGCAAAGTCACAGGGCAACCTAAAATACAAACAAACAACAAATCACAAAGTGAACTTAATATGCATGTGAATCCTGTTTTTTACCAATGCCAAAGGTCCTTTGGCTTTGTTTACGGTTTCTGCCCCTTTCCCTGCTTTTTGCTCTTAATTAAAATCCAATGATTCCTAGAACCTGCTTTCTGGTCTTCTTTTAATTTCTCTTACGTTTGTTTTGCTGAATTTACATTTTTTTCTGGTCTTCCCTAAAGTCTTGTGTAAGTTTCTTTTTTTGTTGTGTGCTGAGAGTTTTTAATTGCACACATTTTTGCAACGCTTGTTGATAAGAATTTTTCTCGTTCACCTTTGTAGTTGTAGTTGTTGTTATAGGCAACTACAATCAGCAAAATTACAAATATTTTTTCCCCTACCAGATTGCGGAATTTTTATTTCAGTGCTGGCTGTGAATAAAAGTTGGGATTTATTTTTCTAATGAAAATATTTTAACATGGTTGAAATGGAATGCAAATTGAGATAGGAAGAGGGCAGTATAAAAATGTAAAGAAATTCATAAATTGTTGAGTTCCGTGACCTAAAAAGTTTAATCAAAATATAAAAACAAGAGAGAACGCTATAATCGAGTGCCTCGACTATTAGATACCCGTTACTCAGCTAAACAACTTAATAGAAATATGCCTCCTTTTTTGTTTTTCGAAGCTGGAATTAGCTCCCGTTTTTTACCCAGGGAACTCCACGTGGAGGCCTTCTAAAACTTTCAATTCTGCCTAGCACATCTTCCGTCTCTCTCTAGCGCAGGTGAATGCACTTGTGAAAAACGAATACGAGCAAAAAGAGACAAAATGCGCGCCCTTTTCAAATAATTTAAAATTTGCAATAACATATTGTGAATTAGTGTGACCACAGAAAAAAAGGACAAAAAGTTCAAATTAACCATCTGAATAGATGGCGCTATTGTATATTGAATTGAGCCATCTACCCCAAGATATTGGTACTACTGGCCATGAAAGGCGGAAATGTAGGCGCTAGACAGGTTTAAGCGTTAAATGGGTTTTGCGGGCGTTAGAGTGGGCGTGGCAAACTTTTACTTGGCCAATCGATATGTATTGACGAAACAAATACATATCAGTTACTATTTTCATAATAGCTTCAAAACTGTGGGCGATAGAGAGGGCTAGTGGGCGTTAGAGGGGGCGTGGCACCTTTTTGAAATAAACTTGCGCTGCGTAGGAACTCCCAGAATCTGCATGCAAAATGCCAATCTTCTAGCTTTTATAGTTTCCGAGATCTCAGCGTTCATACGGACAGACGGACAGACAGACAGACAGACAGACAGACGGACAGACGGACAGACGGACATGGCTAGATCGACTCGGCTAGTGATCCTGATCAAGAATATATATACTTTATGGGGTCGGAAACGCTTCCTTCTACCTGTTACATACTTTTGCACGAATACAATATACCCTTTTACTCTACGAGTAACGGGTATAATGAATCAAGTAAAAGCTGTGTGGTGTGTAAATATTTGTATGCAATAGGAACAAGTTAGGAATTTATTGATTTACAAAACATGTAAGCAGAATTAAAATGAATATTTTTCATTTGGAAATCGAAAGGCAAGGGCTTATAAAAAAATGTTGTATCTACTATTTATTTATAAATTTCCTTCAGAATTAATTAAAAATTTTAAATTTAGTTATTATGGTACACGAAATAATTTCAGTTTTTTTTTTTGAAACTCAAAAGCATCCATAGTCTTAAAAAGTAATTAACTTGTAATGATTTTCTAATAGATCATCAAACAACGCCGCAATATGGTGCATTTTTAGAGACTCAAATGACATAAATCTCACTCTGAGTTTTTATTTCTCAGCTTTTCTCTTTTCTGTGGAGAGATTCTCTCGGCTTTCGAAATTGAAGTTAGCGCCTGCGTTTCTATTCGATGGGAGAATTTCAACTTCGGCTTTTTAAGCGGCTGAAACGAAGCGAACTCTATTTTATTTGGCCAAATAAAGAATCAGTTGCTGTTCAGCTATGGCCGAAGGCAAAAGCCTGAAGCTCGGCTCCTCACATTTTTCCTTGCATTTTTCTATACTTTAAAAGACGTAAATTGAACTTTGAATGAGGGTCAGCTTAGATAGTACCACAAATGCAGCGGCAATTAATATTATCTAGGGAGACATAAGCCACGCTTTCCTGCAGTGAAAGGAGAAATTTACATTTTTATAGGTGTGAAAAGCCAGGGCAAACGAAATTGCGGCATTTCGTGTGAGAATGCAATTAAAAATGCTTTCTCTAACGGAGACCAAACATATTAATTGCCCGACAAGGCGAACCCGAATTGCCCCCTACTGGAGCAATTTTTTAATTGAGCAAGTACATGAAAAGCAAACAAAAGGCATACAAAGGATGCACTTCCCACTCGGCCAGGACGAAGATTAGCTGCATGCGGGAGAGGAGGTTGTGGAACATGCAAATGCCAGCCATGATTTATGCCGGAGTCAGGGTGAAAGTCAGAGCTTAGAGCCTGCACTGAAAAATATTTAAAAATGTATTTAAAATTTCAAAAAAAAATTTTAACGATTAAAACAATTGTTCAAACATTTATGATTTGGGAATACAAATTTAAAACGAAAGAAACCAAATTAGAAACTAAAACTTAATTCACAAATTAAACCGCAGCACATTTTTAAATAAGAGAATATCTAAATAATTTCTTTCCACATTAATATAATTTAAATTTAAATGGGTGATTTGTATTTTGTCTGGTAAATTAGAAAACATCCATTTTGTAATGCAAAATATCTGTCTATTTGTGGTTTTCAATTTTTTTAATATTATTTTCTCATTGTGTACCTGGCCTGGCAGGCAGTTATGCACTCGAGGCATTTGTTGCATGCTGACAGAATGGGAAAGCCGTGGAAATGGGTGGGGAAAGCGGGGTGAGCGGGGAAAGTGGCCAGGATACACGGTGTCGGATGTGCATTCCTTGGCCCGGGGCACAGTGTGCTTGCTGATGATTGTTGTTAGCTCGTAAGCAAAGCGAAACAAAACCCAACAAAAGTCCTGCCCCAGGAAACGCCACATGCTCAGCCCATGTTGCGACTAGGACCTCTTTCGAGCTTCAATCACACTTCATTCGGTTTTCCGGTTTCCCTTTTCATTATGTTAAATTAAAGTGACTGCGAGGGGTCTCCCCATTCATTCATCACTCTCTCGAACAGCTTGACGGTTTCCTTCGTTCGTTGACAAAAACAAAAAAAAGCAAAAAAAAATGGGAAAACAAAAAACAGGTTGCGAAAATGCGCTGTGGGAAATGTGTGAAATTTCCCAGCTGCAGCGGCGGCAGCGGCAAAAACTGTAGCTGCAAAACTTTCTGGCCAGCCTGCTCGGCGTTGGTTAAAAATTTAAATTTTCATTTTCTGCATCAAATTGGGGAGCAACAAAAAAAAATGCTGGCAGCCGTTTGCTGCTGAGAAAAAGAAAAGTGGAAAAGCAAACGCGGACTTCTGCCTGCGAAAGTTTTTTTTGTTTCTACCACAAAAGTATGCTCTTTGTCTCCATCTCGCTCTTGCAAGGATCTTTCCTTTTGCATCCTGGAATTGTTGTTGTTGTTGCTGTTGTGAGTGCCACAGAGTTTCAAGTGCGAATTGCATTCTGCTTTTGTCGCATTTGCGGTTTTGTTGTTTTGTCGGATGGAGTGAAGTGGAGCGGATCGCCGGAAAATGGGGAAGGAAATAGGTAAAGTGAACTAAATGTTGCTGCCACCTGAAACCCGATTTTCAACATACCCATGCACTGGAAAAAAATGTAGTTATTTAAAATTAAGTAATTATTTGAATTTATATTCTGT